TCTCCATCGTGTCTTAATCCTCAAAGGCAAGAGATTCTCTCAGACTAGCAGACAAGAGATACAGGTATCTCTTGTGTTTCAGTGACGATGAGAAAAGTACAGTTTTGTCATTGTCACTGAAACACAAGAGATACCTGTATTTGATCTGTTCCCAGGCCTCGAGTTTAGAAAGGAGCTGACAGTATTGCTAATGACACGTAGGATGAGCGGGGAATCCTGCTTATATTCCCTGCACTGATTGCTCAGCAATGGTCTACTATTAGATATGGAGGTTGGCAGCCCTGCCTGCAGCAGGGGGGTTGGAGCCTGATGGTCCTTGAGGTCTCTTCTAACCCAAGCCATTCTATGTTTTTATGGTTCCAGTGATGGTGAGATTTTACTTCTTAATTTTACATCCCATATGCAAGAAATGCACAGCAGAGACTCCATTCATTTTTTTTTCGAAGCGTCACTCATCTGAGCCATCTCTGCTTTAAAAAATGAAGTTGCCGTTACAGAAACCATACAAAACCGTTGTCAAGGCTTCTATGAAATACTGTAGCATCCTAATAATAACTTCTAGCTGAAAAATCTTGGCATCCTGCAGTTCAGGAAAGGGTTTTAAAATTCACCTTCAGTTTTTGGGCAATAGGCAAAACATGTGGCTCTGTTTAGGAGCTATTTTCGTTAAAGCTTGACAATACAGGATGATAAAATACAGCTGCATTGTTTAAACTTTCAATTTAATTTCTGGTTTCTGTCCAAGTTGTTTCATCAATATGGCGCCATTCATTTCAAAACAAAGCTCTTGGAAGTCTCTCCATTACCCCACCATTGATCAAGAGAGTGTTAAAATATAGTCCCTAATTATGTTCCTGGCCTGTTTGGAATTCTTAAATTGGATTTTTATAACTGTCAGATTTGCAATCAGGGTAACTTTCCATGACAATTAGTTAGAATTATTAGGGTTCCTGTTGCCAGCAAGTTATGACTAATGATGGTGTTTCACTTTTCAAGGCTCTGTAAGTATCAAAGGCAACATATATCTTGAAGAACAGCCATTTGACTACAGCGTTGTCTGTACTTAACTGCACCCAAATATCTACTACTGTTACAGTCATTTTTATCCTTTCTCCAAGGTTGAGTTGTTGCCACAATCTCTACTGCAGGCTCTGCAGATATAATTAACCGCTCAGTTCTGCCTCGTTGCAAAATGGGACTTAGGAAATCATGACATGAGAAAGTTCATCCCTGAGTATTTCTCTGGAGTCCAGCTTGGTAAGGGCCAGTACTCCAGAGGCTATTGATGAAGTTGCTGGTGGTCAGTTACTGCTTTGATTCTTTAAAATAAGCCAAATATAACTGTGTATACAACCCACCTGGATGAATGCTGTGTCTTCTCAGTCTGACCCATACCTCACTTGTAGGTAAATCCATTACAAACAAATTCAAGGATGTGTTAAAACTAGCGGAGATGTCTACCCTATGCTCTCTTCCATGTAGACCAGACTTTTGGAGAGGCATGGTGCTTTAGCCTGAATGCTGTTGTGTGAATATATGTGCTCACAAAGGAGCAGGCACTTAAAAATAAAAGCTTTCTTTGCCTCATATGTGATTCCATCCTTGGATATGCTTGAGGCCAGGTTGGACGCAGCCCTTACGAGCCTGGTCTAGTGGTTAGCAACCTTGCCCACATCAAGGGGGTTGGAACTGAGTGGGCTTTAAGGTTCCTTCCATCACAAGCTGTTCTGCGATCTATTTCAGAGGCATCCATCCAAGATGCAGATGATGTGTTGGCCTGTTGATGACAACAGATTCTTGTCATCAGCTTATAGCTTTAGATTGAGTACTAACTGCATTCGTCTTTGCATTGGTTTCAGTAGCAGCGTTTGCTTAGAATTTACCCCCTCCACCATCCCTGCTGTTCCTGCCTTAAGTTAAGCTGAAAAAGTAATGGTACCTGGGGCCAATTTATCACCCCTTTTTCTAACCAGGAAGCCAGGTTCTGCCTTTTTCTTAGCCAGTACCTAAGAACATCTCTGTGTCCACTGGCATGTATTGACCTGAACAGTGTGACCACTTCTGACAAGAGGGTCTGCCGTAAGGCTTCACAGGTACAGGGTCCAAGTTGTTAAAACTCCTAATCCTGCAGAAGGATTGCCCTTGGAGGAAGAAGGGCTGTAATCAATTCAGTTTAATTAAATCAACCTAAACTAATTATCAGCTAATAAAATAGTGTTGGTCAGCTCATAAAACAGAAATGAAGATTAAAAGAGTAGTTGCCATGAACAGGTGGTAACTCTGTTTCCAAGTTAGACTACATTATTCTCTGGCACAGGATCATCTGAGAATACCTCATATTTGAGTTTTTTTTTTTAAATGTTTATGAAACTTATAAAATATAGGGCTCATTTTATAACCAATTTTCTATCTCACCTGCCAAGAGCAGTGGGGGTTGAGCCAGCACAAGGCGGATGCAGAGTTTTAGGCAGCAGTCCAGAAATGGATTCCCTGTGCAGGGCTGTGGGATGCATATCTACCTTGGCCTGGCCTTTCTTATTGCGTTTCTTGTGATTTGGTTTTCTTGTTGCTGTTGCAGAAAAGACCTCATAAACGTTTCTCAATGCCATTGATAGCCTGGCACTGTTGTGCAAAGGGAGAAACTTCCGATGCTGCTTTGGGGATGTGGTTTAACTCTAGGTGGATCCTGAGTTAATAATGGGATCCCTCCGGAGTTGGCCTTTGGTATTCTGTTGACTCTGCAGTTCTTGCAGAAGGCATAAAACATTAATCTAATTGTAAGTGGTAAGGACTAAACTGGGATCATAATCTGCTCCTCAGAGTAGAGCGTGGTTGTTTGTAGTTGCTGTTAATGGTAGAATAATGAAAGAAAAATTTATTGCGTAGTGGTTATCGAGTTACTCTGCTAGCAGTGCAAAGCTGTGTGGTTCTGAGACTTTTGTCATGGCTTGCACTTAGCTTCAATGCTCTGCACTGACGCAAAGCTTTCTGCATCAAAGCGATTTGCTGCACTAGCTGGGAGTTCCCTCTCTGCAACCACCAATTCCCCAAAATTCAGGTTGCAGTTTATTGCTTATATAGAATGATAGGATTGTTTGAGTTGCAAGGGACCCTCAAAGGCCATCTGGTCCCACTCCCCTGCAATGAACAGGGGCACCCACAGCTCTATCAGAGTCCTGTCCAGTCTGACCCTGGCTGTCTGTAGGGATGGGGCACCCACCACAGGCGCTGTAAGGCAAGATTAGATTTCTCTTCAGGACCAGTTCTCTTCTTTGAGGAACTGCAGGCACGAAATAGTGAGCTGCACTCATACAAGGCTGTGGCTGCAGCGGCCATCTCACTGAAAATGGGATGCTCCAGGAAAACTCCCACCTAAGAGTTTCAGCTTGTTAGTGGGCAAGACAAATTCTGTGTGGCCTTGTAGCCTCCATAGCTTGTTTGGGGGGTTTGACCTGGCTTGAATCCACCTGGGTTCCTGATCTGAAGTATGATAAACATGACTTGAACCCACGTCTTGGCTTAAATCAAGGGAAAGTGTTCCTCACACTGAGAATCCTGTGAGGACCTTGGAGGCTGCTTCCCTTGAGACAGAATTTCTTTAAGAAAAAGGAAACAAGATAAGGTGTTTTCATTTGGGGCAGAAGTTTATGTCTCCTGTGCTTGATCCAGTGTTATGGAAACATTCACAGTCTGTGTCAGCTTCTCTCAAAGGACAAATTCAGGAGGAATGTAACACTGGTGTAAAACGTTGATCCTCCAAGGGGGTCTGTGTGGGTTTTAGTTGAGTGTTGAGGGTGTTAAAGGACTTCCAGGCTTTGTCCAGATGTATGCTGGTGGAATTGCACCAACATCTCCCAGTCCTCCCAGTTAAGATTGCAGTAGGACAGTGAGCGAGCTTGCTGCTTGGCTCTCTAGGCACATGTGCAAACCCATCGGTGCCCCAAATGAATCAAAACCACACTCAGAGTAATTATCTGATCTTGTTTGTTTGTTTTTAATGTGATGTTTCTAGTCACTGGTACGGCAAACACGTTCTTGTGAATCTTGAAACGGTTGTTTGTAGTTTGCATCTTCAAGACAATTTTATGTGTGTAGATGAGGACTAATGCAGAACACCGCAGTGTCACCATCATCTGCCAGTGCTGTGGGAAATGCCTGGTACCAAGATGACTTCCTTAGCTTGTTTAGCAGTTTTCTTTTTCCTTTTTTGCCCTTCTCTGTGAGAACACATAGATAGTGATATGCTTGTCTGTTGTGCTTTCCAGATGAAAGTGCTTTGCGGTCCACAGAGTTAAATAGTTAAGTCTTTGCAGACCTCAGGGTGGTTTACAAAGGCAGTTGCAGTCATCATCACACAGAGACAGAGAAATCTCTAGAGGTGAGGTAACTATAGGCTGGTCCTGCAGAGCTGGGGGCAAACCTGCACCTCTGGAGCATGCTCTGCCTTTGTGAACATCAGGAGAGGCTGCTGTGTACACACTGCACAAAACCCTTTCCCCTTCCCGTGTGATTCCTTTTCTTGCTGGCACAAACTTGGGTTTTGGCACAGCTGCAGTGGCTGGGAGGGTGCAGTGCTCTCTTCCCCATGGCTCAGCTCTCCCTCCTTGTTCCTGGGGCTATAGCCTATAGCATGCAATTGAGGCAGGGATTGCCCTTCTGAAAGCAAAAAACAAATCCCAAGCTCCTCGTAACTCAGCCAGGGTGGATTGCTGAAGCCTGTATCATTCAGGAGGCATTCTTGTGCTTAAATTTTTTTTGGAAGCATCATTTCCAGTAAAGCATGGGGCTTTTTTGTAGACTCGTTTCAGCACTTTGAGAGCGTGAGTGTGCACACCTGCGCCTTGCTGTGGGTAGGAAAGGGTTAAGACCCAAATAAGCAGGGAGGGTGAAGGCAAGTTTCACTCCTCAGGCTGAATAAACTTTTTCTTTGCTGAACTGATGCTGCACAGGGTGAGGGTTTCACCTGTCCCCAGTGTTAATTGCCTCTTCTGTCCCTGCAGGTTCCCTGGGCCGCCAGCACGGTCGCTCTTCCAGCCAGGACCGTAAGTGGGCAACTTGGACATCAGGGAAAAGCAGAACCCAGAGCAGAGCGGGGGCTGGAGGAGCCAGGGGTACCCACTGCTTGTAGGGGAGGTACTGGGGAGGGGGCTGTGAGTCTCTGCCTGCTTTGTGCTTCTCCTCCTGCAACTAAAGCTTCCTACCCTGCTTTCGCTGACCAGATTGTGCTCCTCATCCATCTTTGAGGAGTGAGGAGTGCCATAAAGCAGGGATCAGCTTCCTTCTTGAGGTGATGTTGCAGAGCTCTTGGAGGGGAGATGGCTGTGACCCTGTTTGCAGTGCAGGCTTATATAAGGAGCCAGCCGTGGTGGCCCTGGTGTCTCCTCATATCTGTGAGTGTTTCTCTTACATTGGTGCTGGTGTCTCTGATCTGCCCCCCCGGAGAAGCTGAGATGGTTTTAGAAGTTGAAAGTGGGCTGGCAACAAAGCATTGCCTGTTGCTACAGGACTGTGTGCCTCTGAGCTGACACGGTGAGCAGCTTGGAAGCTGGTACATGTGCAGAAATCCAAGCAGGGTTTTCAACTAGACTTGTCAATTTCCATTGATGGTTAATGGAAAAGCAGCAGGGATTCACGCAGCAGTCTTTGTACCTGATGGCCATGTGCAGGTTTTGTAGTAAATGAAAGTTATGACAGTGCCAAAGCTGCACATGTGCTGAGCAGACAGATTGCTCCAACAAGGCTGGTTTTGTGAGAGAAGGCATATGGTGAGGAGATGGAGAGCTCATGTTAATCTGCCTCTTTGCCGAGTCTGCATTCAGTAAGGACCCCAAAGTTGTCTCATAGTCCATAAGCTTCAGCGAAGCCTTAAATCAGGACAAGCTTCTGTCTTTCTGCTTCTTTTGGAGATGTGCTTCATGCCTGAACTGTAGCTCCTCTCTTCATGTGCTCTGTGGATGTTACTGAACGTGCTCTGAGCCTCATTGACTATGGATGCTCAGCACAGAATTGGTTCATCCTGGGGCAGCCAAGTGGGGCAGGGTGGGCAGCATGCAGACCCATGTCCCCTGGCTGGGACCCTGAGACTGGAAGTGCCCAACACCCTTCCCATTCTTCAGGTCCTTCCTTGAAGTTGTACCAGGAAAAACTGTATCTGTGAGTCTGAGGTGACCGTGTACTATTCTGCTTACCACTACCTTAATACTTTTCAGCCTTCAGAGGTGCAGTGTCCCTAATGTGCCTGGGACTTGCTTACTGAGGGCTGGGGGGGGGACAGGGGAGGTAACTATGCTACAATGAAATGTGCAGGAGATATTCCACTCCTTCCTTGTGCAGCATGGATTTAACACTGGCACCAAGTGTCATGAAGATTCCTTCTCCTTTTTAGAAGGAAACATACCAGATAAGTAGAGAGCAGGTATGCTGAGGATGGGAACCCTGTAAAATCAGCTTCTTCCACGTTCAACTTTTATTAACTTTGATATAAGCAGCACCAAGAGGGAATAATGGAAAGCTGCAAATTAGCTCTGCTGTAGAGATCTGGCTGCAGATGCTTTACTGTGTTTTCAAGCTGAAGAAATTGAGAATTTTTTAATGTAAGTGTCTGGATTTTTTCATGGGCTTTTTCTACCTCTCAGTGATCCCAATCCCATCATCTTGAGAGTGTCACTCCAGGCATCTTGCCCACTGCCTTGGGTCAGGCAGGAGGATAACGTGGTGCTGTGCTTACATGCTTACATACTGGAGGTGCTTCAGAAGTGTGAGCTGCTGCTGTATTTCTAGAAGGTACGGAACAGGCTGCCTATTTTCTCTAACAATATGGTGTTCCTCATAGGCTCATAAGCTCTACAGCACAGAGAGATCTGCAGATGCTTCTGGCCACACTCAGTAATGTAAACCCTACCCAAGGTGGGTGTCTCAGCCTGGTGTTTCCTATTGGCTGTTTCCAAGCGTTCAGTCCATCAGAAACTTCTCTTTCAGGGACTGAAGTGGAATTTAAAGTATCTGAATATAGTCCTCTGTGTCAAATCAAATGATTTGTTAAAGTGAGGCCAGATTTGCAGGGAGAATCAATCTTTTTTATTAGATCAACTGATGTGGAAAAAGCAGACGAACATTCAGGCGTATTAACCCTTCTTCTGGTCTGCAGTTGTGTTACAAGAACGGAGGGAGCAGGCTGCCAGAGGAGGCTGTACTTCAGGATGTGCATTCAGACAGCCTTGGTCTGAGCGCAGACCTGGGTGGCATTTTGGGGCATGCCTGTGTGCTTTTTTGGCAGATACAAGACTCGTGTCCCTGTGTGTTTGGACACTAAATGTTACCACACAACAAATAATAGGCTCTGCTCTGCAGCTGACTCATTGTACAAGTCTGGGGCTAATTACTGAATCCCTCCGTGCCTCCATTTTCATCTGTAAAATGTCACAGATGCCCACCATTCATAAATCGCTTTCAGATTTCCAGATGAGGTGCTGTGTAAGTGTAGAACAGCGTTAGTTTATACATATTGTGCTGGAGAATAATAGAAAACACGTGTAAGAGCCTCACAGATGTGTCTCTTTCCACTGCAAAAGGCAAGGCCTGGGCTGATTTAGCACAGCACTAATTGGGCTAAAATAGGAGATTGCTCTTATTCTGATGCAGTTGTCACCGTTAACATCCTCGTTTACCAACAGCTTTTGGAGATATCCCAGTTGTTTCCCATTGAGGAGAGCTGTAGCATTTTGGGTGTCAGAGCACAGCAGTTCATAGCAAACGTTCCCATCTCTGTAGCACACCCCACACTGGCTTCTGGAAGGGACTGTGCCATAGTTTGTTTTAAATGTGCATCTTGCCTTTCCTGATGCTGCTGCCTGAAACCTCCGGGACACTTCCTCATCTCTGAGCAGAGGCATTTGACCGAGTCACTGCTATTGCTGTTACAGAGTGTTGCATACGCAGGAATCCCCATTTATTGATAAGAAAGCTGTTCCTGTGGCTGCGAGCGAATGAGAGCCTGGCAGCTGTTCAGCATGAAGTCAATTTGCAAAGTTTAAAGGATTTGTAGGCTGTGATGGTTTGGGTTCAAGCGATTAGCTTGGGTGAAGTGCTTGAGAGTGTCTTCCAGAGACCCTTCATGTAGAAGGATGAACGCAAGCAGTTAAGAGATTTGATTTAAATACCCTCATGTTTTCTGATTGCACTGCTGGGGCTGAACTCTCAGTGGCTGTAAAATCTGGGGGCATTTTTGGTTGCGGGAGAACTCTGCTTGCGTGAAACTGAGACGTGCCAGCGTCACCCCTGATGCCAGAGGTGGTGGGCACCAGTGACCAGGGCCTGTGCCTCTCCAGCCTCTGGCTGCGGGACAGTGTAGCCCTGATGGGAGCTTATTTTCCAGTGTATTGTTGCTCAGGGATAATGCTTGGTGCTGCTGTAGGAAGGTATGGGGTGGGGTGGGCTCCCCGCAGATGAATCGTGCCATTCTGCTGTTGTCCGGTTTGGACTCGGAGGCTCTGTTTTCCCTGTTCCTCATCCCTGCTCAGAGAGATGTTCGAGATTCACTCCCGAATCTTCCACAGCAGTCAGGGTGACACAACACTGGGGCTGAGCACGTGACAAGCATGAGATGAGGTTGGCTGACGGACGGCCTTACCCACTGCTTGCCACGTGTCAGGAGAAATCTTCCCTGGCATTGGGCCTCCATTTCTGAGTCTAAATGTGCCATTTTTAGGAGAATTTCAAGGTGGGGGCAACCACCGACATAATGTCTGATAGGATACACGTGTGAGTTCTTGTTGCCAGGTAGATATCAAAAGTCAGATCGAGCACAAATAGGCACGTGGTGGATAAGGGTTTGGTTGTACCAGGAAAGGTGTGGATGCTCAGGTTGGTGAGTTTGGAGTTAAAGAAACAGGGTGAAGGAATTCTGGAAAACGTTTTGGTTCAGCACAGCATTATGGATATTTTCTGGTTTTTTTCCATCCTAAAGTCATTTAGGAATGTAGCCTGGCACAGCCGTTTTGAAGCTGAAAATGAAACATGCCTGGCTGACCCCAACAGGATATCTCCTTCACTCATTTTTCTACATCCAGAAGTTACCATTGAAACAAAACAAAACGACGTAGTCCTCTGTGCAATGTTGTGCTAGCCACTAATCAGAGGCAATTATTACCTTGTTCCTCCTCTTACGAGGACCAGATGATATTGGGATCTCTGGGGCTCTGGACTCCCTTGTGTCCCCAAGGGCTATGTCACAGCTGCAGAGATGTGGAAGGTATTCCTTGTCCTGCTGCTTGGATCTGTGAGGACCACTGCAGGGCTCACAGGTGTTTTGATAAAGGCTAGCAAAGGGTAATTGGCAGAATTAGGCAGAGAAATGATCCTCAAGAGGCTGAGAATCTGGTAGGACTGGGTGGAGCCATTTGCTCGGCCATGATGGGTGCTTGTGGTGCTGTGTGGGAGAGTAGGAGTGGGCTGAAGGATGCCAGTGCCAAATGTTCTGGATGGAGAAGTGGTGCATCCTAAATGTAACATGTGTATGGGTTGCAGGGACTTTTTGCAGAGAGCAGGCATCTAACCCTAGACGTGTCTTTATTCCTCGCAGTCTGAAGTGTAGTAAAACTCAAAGCAGAGGTAGAACTGATGTCAGTAATCCAAACTGGCAGCGAGATGCATATTTTCAATACAGTGGTTAGCCTTGGATGCAGTTTGCAGAGGAAACCTAGGCTGTCTGGCTCTAAAGCATCTCTCTGAGAGACAAAGTCCAGTTAACATACATAGTTTGGCTCGGGACCGTGAGAGATCCCCGACCTGCGATGCACAGGTGTGGGGCTGACATTGCAGGAGTCCCTGCAGAGCTTGTGGTGAGCCTCGATTCCTTTCGTCCTGTCTGCTTCCTTGTTTCATGTTACACCACACCACATCTTGACCGTGTTTTTCCCTCCATCACTTCTCCCAGCAGGGATGGAAAGCAGCCTCTAGACGTGAGAGTCTCCCAGTTAGGGGGTGAGTTTGCAGGGCTGTACAATTCTGCACTTGGATTGGGGTCAGTGAGGCATGAAATGTT